TTTTTTTTTAAACATTTATTTATTGATTTTAACAGGAGAACAAGAAACATACATATATTCACTTACAAATACTTGAAATGTAGACCTAGACCAGACAAAAACCCAAAGGGCATATACACAGGGTAGGGGGAAAAAAAAAAAAAGGGAGGGGAGGGGGGGGTTGCAGCAGACCCTCAATTGACCAACCAACATAAACATCAGTTTGACTCACCATATGGCCTTATAACCAATCCTCTTTCCATCCATCAAGCTGGATATCATTTTGGCACAGCCAAGTGTAAAAGACAGACCAGACCACCCAAAATTTATCAAGCTTATTCTTAGTAAAATAACTGATTTTCTCAAGTGCAAAGTAGAACGTCATTTGTGTGGTCCATTGTGAAATTCCACATAATGTCCCTTTCTTCCAAGAGAGTGCAATGCAGCGTTTAGCTTCCAAAAAGGAGACATTAAGTAAGGATCTCAAGTTGTTTGGGATAACAAAGTCTTCAGGATAAATATTCAAGATGCACATTTTTGGATTCAAAGGAACCTTTTTACCAATCATCTGACCTATCACAATCAATACATCCTTCCAAAACGCCAACACTCGAGGACACGCCCACATGCAATGAAATAAAGAACCTTTTTGGGAAGTACATTTAATGCAAGTGTCAGGAATATTAGGGTTAAAATGATGCAATTTAACTGGAGTGATGTATTGCCTAGTCAGCCATTTGTATTGTAATAATTTGGAATTTGTGTTAGCAGATTGTATTCTTTGAAGTTTTGAAATTAAGAGCAATTTTTGCATCCCAAAATCAAACTTAAAACTCACTAGTATTTATAGCTGTATACTATTTAGCCATTTATTTTCAAGTTTTAGATGGTCTCATTATTTATGAAATGTTAATCAAAATCTCAAATCAAATTTTATTTGTTTAGCACATTTCAGCATCAAGGCATGCTTTTAGACCTGTGCGTTACATCTTAAAAACACAAAAATACAAAGTCATAGAAACACAGTCAACATTTAGTGTGATTAAGAGCAAATGAAGTAAAAGTACTTTAGACTGAAACCCAGGCACAGCCAGGCTGCTGGGACCAACAGGACAACATGGCTGACCTTTAACATTGCAAGCAGGTCTCCAGTGTTTCAGTCCTATGGCTCATCAGCAGGCCCAGTCCCAGGCCCATTTCTGCAGCTTCTGATCTGAGCCTTCATACTGCTGAGGTTTGGAACCAAGCTGTTCACACCACCTAAACACATATCCATCCTCACCTAAACTAAAGTTCACTCTGGCCTTTAAGGAACTTTTATTACCTTTCTTGTTAATGAGTAATCAGAACCTCCATGCATCATGTTTGTTCTGGAACTGCAGCACAGACACAGACATGCACACACGTTTGCGTGGCTATCTTTGTGGGGACTTTCCATTGACTTCCATTAATTTCTACAGCCTAAACCTAACCCTTATCCTAAACATAACCATTACATACCTAACACTAACCCTAACCAAAACTCGATTCACACCTTAGTCTTAAATCTAAAAATAGCGTTTCCCCTTGTGGGGACCAGGCTTCTGTTCCCACAAGGAGCAGTGGGTCCCCACAACGCATGTGTCAGGAAAATGGTCCCCACAAGGTATTGCAAACAAACACACACACAGCTTCAGCCTCTCTCTCCATCTACGTTGATTTAGAGGAGAAATGTTTTGAAGTAAATATGGAAGATTAAATGGTAAGAATTATGTGTCAACTCGAACTCTGGTGCCAGCAGATGCTTATGGCAGCAGCAGTTGGAGTCTAACAGAATAAATGCTATATCATTGGCTCAATCACATTGAGCCAATGATGACCATCAGTATGTAATCATATGGAGAAATCATATGGAGAACTGCCTAATAATCTGAGTTGAGGCATGGTGGCTGATGGGGGTGGGGTGGAAAGTCTGAAAAGATTTTTCATTTTTGATGATAAACAGTTAAATGTTGATTAAAAAACTCATAACTTACATAGAACTAATCAACAAAGCTGATTAAAGGATGGTTGCTCCTCTCGGTCTCAGCCTGTAGTTTGAGAAAAGTGAGAATATAATCAGTTGTCTCTCCTGCACGAGTCCTGCTGCTGCGTCCAGCTCTGTCAGCTACTGCATGTTGTGCATTTAGTATTTCCCAGACTAAAAGAGGCTTGAAGAGTAAATGAGTTCTTAGTGAAATTAGCAAGTATTGAAAGAGTACTTTCTAATACTAGGAGTACTTTCAATACTTGCTAATTTCACTCAGGACTTCTTGGAATAGGTTACATGGGAAATATTTTTCTTTAAAACGACAGGCTCCAAGTAGTTTGTGTTTTCAGACAGATGGGTACATGAAATAGTTTCTATTGCTGCAGATGATCCATCTTGGTATTTCATTGTCAGACATCTTAGAATTTAAAAAAAGCAAACAAAAAAAACAACAGATTGTTTTTCTTTATTATTTCATATGTAAAGTTTAAGAATTGAATGAATGAGTATTATGTTTGTACTTAGATGATACTGGCTAAGCTAAGAGAGAGTGAGAGAAATTTATATGGTAAATACAGTTTCATTTTTTTGGTTTACAGTTTTAGACTATAAACAGATTTAGTTGAAATTTTTAATTTTCCTAATGTGAACTTTTTAAATATTCATATAATCTCTGCTCATTACTGACTTTTTGCGTTATGAGCTGCTAACATAGCTGTCTTTGTTTCAGTGTTTAATGGTGCTTTTGTCTCGTCTCTCTTTCTGCCAGTATAATCAATGGTTTTGCTTTGCCGCTGAAAGCAGAACATAAGCAGTTTCTGGTTAAAGTGTTGATCCCCCTTCATACTGTCAGGAGCCTGTCCCTCTTCCATGCACAGGTAATGTCTTTCTGGAATATTTTAACCTTGTTTACCTTTTCTTGTCAATTTGACACTTATTGGACTGTTTTATTTTGCTGCTTTAGATTGTATTATTTAAAATCGTTTTTAATTTTTACTGAACTCTGATCAGTAAAAATCGTGTTTTTTCAAGTGATATTCTGTTAAAGATATCATTGGATATTATTGAACTTACTTGATGCCTGTTCAGGGGCAAGCACCAGTTTTGAAACTTGAAATGTTTTGATTATAAACACTTCATTTTTAGGTTTTGTTTAAATAACAAAGTTTTGGTTCTGGAGGTGGAGTGGACTACAGATTTACAAAGTTGGGAAACATACAGCTTCTGAATCTTTGATTTTCTTATCTCTTGAATAGTTGTAGGTTTTATCAAACCAACTGGATGATTTAAGCTCTGTATTCTACCTAACCTGTTTGAAATAACTGGTATTAAAGCTTGAGCTCTTCTCTTTTTACAGTTGGCTTATTGCATTGTACAATTCTTAGAGAAAGACCCGACATTAACAGAACCAGTAAGTATCACTACACGTCTTGTTGAATATCTGAAGTGAATATACAGCTGGCTTCACACCAGATATTCACTATGTTTCTATCATTGCTAAATAGAACACTAATGTTCCAATAATAAAGAATAGTTGGGGTGTGGAAGACCATTCTGGATGACTAAAGCTACCTGGGTTTTTCATCCATCCTGACACTTTCCCAGAGATCCTCTTCAGTTTACTGTAGCTAACCTACAGGATTCCTGAACAACAAACCAGAGCAGAGTTCATCATTCCCACTAACCCGGTCCAGTCCGCTGTAATTAAACTCTAATTTGCTTGTCTCGAAAGTCTGGTTTGTTGGAGGAGGTCTGAATGTACAATCAAGCTCTGATGCAGAACAAAAAAGTGAACTCTGGTCCACCTAAAACCTGGGTTTCAGTTGAAGTGACCTCTGGTGCAGTTCAAATGTATGTAAACGCCAAGCAGACCAGAAACCGCTCCAAAAACAGGAAGTGGACCGCAGCACTGTCAGCTGGTTCCTCGCCATCCCTGCCCTGCCCTGGCGGGAGGCCCACTTTTCCTACTTGACAATCAGTCTCAGACGTGGTGGAACTGACTTGACTGAGTTTTGTTGGCTTGATGGAACCCACAGAACTGAGCCTTCTGCAAAAAGTAAAACTGTCATTCTTAGATGGGACTCTGAGGTTACCATTGAGAATATCTGCTGCTTCAGATATTCTGGGGCCTTCTTCTTGTTGACTTTCCTAAAACTACTCTCAAAGTTATGTAGCTCCACACACACACTGCAGTTAGAATAACAGAGAACTGAAACTCAAGTCCATTTCCATGTTCTCTTCCTTCCTCTTCAGGTCATCAGAGGCTTACTGAAGTTCTGGCCAAAAACGTGCAGTCAAAAAGAGGTAAGGCTGCTGAAGGAAAGGAGGACTACTTCTCTATACACACACTCGGTCAATAAGTAATGCTCTCCTCTGTGGTGGTTCAGGTGATGTTTCTGGGAGAGCTGGAGGAAATTCTGGATGTGATAGAGCCCACACAGTTTGTAAAGATCCAAGAGCCGCTATTCAAACAGATCTCCAGATGCGTTTCCAGCCCACATTTCCAGGTTAGTTATGTCCCATATAAACCATGCCTGGGCTGTTTGGATCTGGAGATGAGTATGTGTGTGTGCGTGCACGTGTGGTTCTCTGCAGGTCGCAGAGCGAGCTTTGTACTATTGGAACAACGAATACATCATGAGTCTGATTGAGGAGAACTCCAGCGTCATCCTGCCCATCATGTTTGCCAGCCTGTACAGGATCTCGAAAGAGCATTGGAACCCGTGAGTCGCCTTGCACACCTAACATGAACAAACTGTCTATGTAATTATTACACAAAACGTGAGATAGATCTGTCTGCAAATCAACAATAAGATTTGTTCTAGTTCAGATTACAGTGTTCCCAAAAATAATAAAAACTCAACTTTCTCTACCCTGCTGACCAGAGATCAGTTAGAGGCTCAGCTATTTTTGATTGATCTTTCTATTTTTCATAAATAATAACTGGATCATTCTTTTGTATTGTCTATGGAACATTTATTTGTTGTTTGGTCTGGCGTTAAATGAGTGATGATGTAAATTCCTGAACATTAGAAAAAGTGAGGAGTGGAATAATCCTCCAGTGACCGGGGGGGGGGGGGGGGGGGGGGGGGGGGGGGAACTTTTTTTTTTTTGGGGGGGCCCC